AGGTGGAGCTAAAGCTCACATTTATGGTCTCTCCCTGGCCTGCAAATTTGGGCCAGCTTTCAGCTTTTCCATCTGCCAAAACTTTTTCTCAGCACCACCATCAGGAGCTTGCACAGAGAGCCAGTCACAGGATGGAGTGGTGTGTGCATGAGGTACACTGCACACTGGGGGTTCCCTGTGGGCCAGCTGGGGTGGGGGGTGGGGGGAATCTGCAAGTGAGGCATTCCTACCTGTCCATGGATGGGCTCCTTGATGAAATATGTGATGCATTTAGTAGGATCTGTGTACTTTAAATGTTTTCTGAGAGTCCTATTTGCAGCTCTCACAGCCTCTTTCCACCTTCCAGTCATATGGCTCACAATTTAGTACTCTGGATGGGGTGAGAGAGAAATGAGCTTCTTTGGCAGAATCCTGTAAAGCCAGGTGTTCATGCACACACTCTCCATTTCCTCTGCAGGAGAAATCATGGGCTAAGAGATCTTTCTTGGCCATAAGCTGTGCTGCCTTGGGGTAGGGGTGATGCAGGTAAAGTCAAGCCATTTCACTTACCCATTCCAGTGTGTCCAAATCTGTATGTTTTTCCTCCAGCAATGTGCTGGGACTTCTCTTCTGGAAACCTGAATTTCTGCAAAGGTTCTCTTGTCTAAGATTGTCTAAGAGTGTTTCCCACGGGCTCCTAGACTCTGGCTGACAGGGGCCAGTGCCAGTTCATGAGTCATTGCAAGTTCTACAGCTATGACTGAGATCTGTCCGCCTATTACCCAACACACAAGTAGGCAGGCCTCCTCCCATGTTCCTTGGTGTATGGTGTTGAATCCCACAGCTCCCACACAAGGCACTTTGAATGGATGCTGAGGATGGATGCTGAAGTTTTATTTTTTGGGGGGAAGATAAATACAACGAGTATCAGATACTCCGTGATGCTGACTTCACGATCTTGTTTTCTTTGGAGACCTGTTCGAAACTGTCATTACCCTGGTTTAACATAAGCTGCTTTCTAGAACTCTGCTTGGCACATGGGAGACACTCAAATGTTGCTAAAGATGAATCTGAATTTCAGAAGGTAGCAGAAGTTTTCAACTTACAAAATCAAATGCCAGTGTGCACATATATATTTTGCAATATATTAATGTGTAAGTTAATCTAAGTGTAGAAGTAAACCAAAATTGACATAGAATTGAAGGGATTTTTATTTGTTCTTCTCTATTTTGTCCTTTTTTCCCTAAAATAATGTAAATTTCAAACATCTTTTCAATTTCCAAAATCATTGTTCTTTATAAATTAAGTATATGGGCATTTTTCCCTTTGCTTGGTAGATATTTCTCCAAATAATGAAAATGTTAAGCCTTTTTAAAGCTACTTCTTCAGGGATGCCTGGGTGGCTCAGTCAGTTAAGCGTCTGCCTTCGGCTCAGATCATGATCCCAGGGTCCTGGGATGGAGTCCACCTCAGGCTCCTTGCTCGGCAGGGAGCCTGCTTCTCCTTCTGCCCTGCCACTCCCCCTGCTTGTGCTCTCTCTCTCTCTGAAAAATAAATAAATAAAATCTTTTTTTTAAAAGCTACTGCTTCAAATAAAATAAAAGAAATTATTTAGAACCATTATGTCTATTTGAGTAAATGAAAATATAATCCTCTCATATATCTCATGTAAATAAAAGATTTTAAAATGGCATACTGAAATTTTGAGAATGTGAATTGTATATTTATCATCTGTGTATATGTCATGGCTCTTGGCAGAGTTCTGCTTACATAGAATATGCATAACAAATTTCATAGAGAGAGAAAATAGAAGAAAAGCAGGACACATTAAAATGATGGAAGAAAAGGAAGAAGTTTATTTTCCATAAAGATACTCAGTATTTAACCATTTTTTAGTATTCTTCAAAACAAGATAAATATAATGAAATCTACTTAGCTTGTCCCATCTAATAAATGAAAAGAAAAAGTATTGTCTCTGTGGTAAGCATGCTCTGCATTGAAAAATATCATAAAACTTCTCTTGGGTTTGAGGGATTTGGCAGCTGATCAGAGGGAAAGGTATGACCACAAGGTGACAGTAGCATACAAGCTTTATGGGGCAATGCTTTGACAGGTTTGCTTTCAGAGAAGTCCCTCGTAGTAGAAGACTATCCAAAGGCTACTGACATTGTCCCTACTCAGAAGGGGCAGAAATCATGAGAACTCCCAGGAGAGAGGGGACTCAGAAAATGTGCCTAAGTGTCAAGGAAATCCCTGGGTCAGAGAGCTCCAGTGGACAGCAGCAGCTTGGGATCTTTTAACCACAAGGCTTCCCTTACCTATGGCTGGCATATGTTGGGTGTGGTTTTATGAGATACTCAAAGCAAGCATGCTCTAAAAAATTGAAAATCTGCTTGTTTGGATTGTAATATGTAAATGTATTAAATTAACATGTCATATACCTCAAACATATGCAGTGTTATATGTCAATTATATCCCAATTAAAAAAAATAACTGGAATGTGGAAATATTTGAGGTGGGCGTCAGTGGGCCCTTAAGCTAATGGATCTCAACCTACAGTGAAGAAATAAACAACATATACAGAAGCCATCTTTGGCTCATTTATATAACATGGATGTTCTCCCTTATATTAGAAAAGCCATGCCACAGGAGATGCTAGCTACAGATGATCAGGTGGTATCCCATATCCTAAAGGCCTTTTTCATCTAGTAAAGTTATATATTTTTTTAAAGATTTTATTTGTCAGAGAGAGAGAGACAGAGAGAGAGCATAGCAGGGGGAGCGGCAGGCAGAGGGAAAAGCAGGCTCCCCGGTGAGCAGGGAGTCCAATGCGGGACTCGATCCCAGGACCCTGGGATCATGACCTGAGCTGAAGGCAAATGCTTAATCCACTGAGCCACCCAGGCATCCCTAGTAAAGTTATATTAAACTGACTAGAATTTTTTCAAGTTCATCATGTTTTATAAACTAGTTCATTTACTCTATGAAGTAAGAAAATTACAATATACCCACAATGGTCAAATGATGAAACAGTAATTTGGAAGTAAAAATTCACTTGTATTTTCTTTTACAGGGAGGGAGAAAGGAAGGAAAGAGGGAATATTATCCTTTAAAACTTATAAATAAGGGCACCTGGGTGGCTCAGTTGTTTAGCGTCTGCCTTCGGCTCAGGTCATGATCCCAGGGTCCTGGGATGGAGCCCCGCATCAGGCTCCCTGCTCCCGGGGAAGCCTGCTTCTCCCTCTACCACTCCCCCTGCTTGTGTTCCCTCTCTCGCTGTGTCTCTCTGTCAAATAAATAAATAAAATCTTTTAAAAAAAACTTAGAAATATTCCTACTATCAAGATTTGCTTACAAACAGAACCGGGAGATATATTTTTAAAGGATGGTATTATAAACTTGGCTACATTAAAAATAGGTATCACCAAAGACTTAATTCAGTCAGAATAAGCAAGTACTAAGCTAGCTTATTTAAATTAGAAGCACAGATGTGTGTGGGTGGAGGATAAAGTCAAAAGATCTCAAAAGAGAGAGGAATGTTCCATCAAATATTTACTCTAGGGTGGCACTATACAGAACTTGCATTATACTAATAGGAGCACAGTTTAATGGACTCATTTCTCAGTGGGTTGTGTATACAGACCAATCAGGACACTAACAGGAGTGGATAGTGAAAAACAATACAAAATAGTATAACAAAAATCAATCAATCAAAAATACTATAAATAAATATGGCAAAAATGTCTCTTCTTTCTACAGAATTCAGTGACTCTACTAAGGCCTTAAATTACAATTCAAAAATAAGCAAGTTTATGAAAGTGCAGATGATGTGTTTTTTTGGTTTTTTTGTTTTTTTTAAAGATTTATTTATTTATTTGAGAGAGCGAGAAAGTACATGAGAGGGGGGAGGGTTAGAGGGAGAAGCAGGCTCCTCGCCGAGCAGGGAGCCAGATGCGGGACTCCATCCAGGGACTCCAGGATCATGACCTGAGCCGAAGGCAGTCGCTCAACCAACTGAGCCATGAGCCACCCAGGCGCCCAATGATGTGGTTTTTAATAACTGTTCTTCAGTGCACTCAAATGTGCCCTTAGTGGACAAGAAATAGTTAATTCTACTTTCAAAAATAAGTCAGTCATTAGCAGAGTGTAGTTTAAGTGCACAGAGACAATCTAGCTCTAAAAGTATAGTAGGTTTGAAGAGTTCTAACTTACTCAAAATAACTATGTGAGGGGAAATTACTACCAAGACCTTTCAAGTTGGATTTTTAAAAGGGTTATTTTTGCAGTATTCAGATGAGGATTACTTCATATTGGAGATAAGATCTGAGGAAGATGAAGGGTTAAGATATGTATCCACTCATTTTATATGTGGAGTTGCCTGCAGTCAAATATGAGTGGGCTCACTTTCAAAGTGATTGGCTTTCTTGTAGGTAATATGTCTTCAAGCAACATTTCTAGTGCTTACTCTCCTGCTCATAGACTAAACGTAGCATCAACCATTTGATTTCATTGAGATCCAATTTTGTTTTAATTGAAATATATTATGTAAAAAGTTAATAATCCATTGAAGTTGCAGTTTACTAAATGGTACCCTTGCGACTTGAAGAGCTTACATAGCTTCCTTAAGTATCTAATATACCACAAGGGAGTAGTTATGCCCCTGATGAAACCAATTGTGTATGTGGGTAAAATTCTAGATATTGTTTGCTTATGTAGTCTAATCAGTTTCTTGTAAAAGTTTCTTTAACAAAGAAATGAATCAAAATCTGAGACTTTTAAGTAAAGAGATATTTTTACCAATTTTTTAAAATGGGAAGGAAATATGCATTAATTTTCTCTCTGTATATGTAAATATACATACATATTATATATTATAATAAGAAAAATATTTGATCTTTCGTCCCATTTCCTGGCACATAGCTCCTAAAACCACTGGAATTTCCTGTCATAAAGGCGATAGGAATATCTTTTGTTCTAATGAGGCAAGTCTTGATGGGCTGCTAGTTAAACAGGATGAGGACTGGACCCAGACTGATCAAGCCTTGAAAAGAACCTTGGAAATTTCACCCCCACGCACAGCCTCTGGGGAGTGGAGAGGGGCTGGAGATTGAGTTAATCGCCAGTGGCCAAAATTATGCCTATGCAATGAATCCTCCATAACAACCCCTAAATGAAGGAGTTTGGGAAGCTTCTGAATTGGTGAACACATCCCTGTGCTGGGAGAATGGCATATCCCAACTTCAAAAGACAGAGGCTCCTGCACTTAGGATACCTCCAGACCTTGCCCTGTGTACCTCTTATCTGGCTGTTCATTTGTATCCTTCATAACAAACAATAATAGTAAGTACAGCTTTTATTTGAGTTATGTGAGTCATTCAAGCAAATTGTCGAACTTGAGGGGGATGGTGAGAACCTCAAACTTAGTAGCTAAGTCTGACAGAAATGAGGGTAACCTGGGGACCTGATACTTGTGACTGGCATCTGAAGTGGAAGCAGTCTTGTGGGACTGAGCCCTCATACCTGTGAAGTCTGATACTAACATCAGATAGTGTCAGAATTGAGTTGAATTATCGTATATTTAGTTGCCCTATATCTATATCAATAAATATTTTAAAATATTTTAAAGCATGAAGATCTGAGACTTAAGACCAAAAAGCTGGGATTTGAGATTTAGTGGTCATAAAACTTGTGCTAAAATAATCAAATTGTTCTGTACTCCAATGTAGTTAATTTAGATATCTTGTTTTGGGATTAAATAGAATCAGCATATTAGCATTGGAAGAAACTTAGAAGGGCATTCAAAACAACCCAACTGTTTCACAGATGAAGGTACTGAAATCAAAAAGGTTAAGTGACTTGTTCAACTTCATAAAGCTAGAATCATCAAAACTGTAACTAGAACTGAATTAACTCAATCTGCATTTATTTTTCACCATTCTATGTTGCTTTCCATTAAGATGTATATTTTAGAATAGTAAGATTTCATTACCTAATAACCATTTAAAAACAACTATAATATCCAAATCAGTGCACAAAATTAACCAAAAAGTCTTTCAGTGAAAATTACAGACCAAGTATCACTCTTTTCTCCTTTTCCTCCTAAAACCCCATTAAACAACGGTAAAGCAGTAAAGGAATAGAAAAATATAAAAACCCAAAACAACAGAGAGAATGGAAGAAAAGGGATTTCTACAAGTTTCCTGCAGGATAGGATGCTATGGGCTAGTGAAGCAAAGTGGAGGAAGCAAAAATCTAGAATATGCATGGAAGGTAATGTATAGCCAAAGAGAGATTAATCTTCCAATCAAAACATGAAATAATTAACTCAAAAAGTGAAACTTTTACCTATACATGATAAAGTACCAACATTTGAAATGCCAGAAATATTAATTAGCAGAAAGATGAAAAAAATTCAAAGTCTTCTCTTATCCTTTGATGCCTCCCACATGGAGTATGGAAAAATAAGTTAGGCAGATGTACAGATGCAAAAAGTTTTGAGTGTCAAAAATAGTTAATTAAAATTGATACAAAACATTGACTACCTCAGAAAAGGGGTGATTACTCTACCAGGCTGTTCACTTACTTTCAGGAAGACATAGAGTAAACATGGAAAGAATTAACTAAGAATATACTACTGAATTCTTTGCACTGAGATAGTAATTTCTTTGCAATTAGGTAGATGTGACTAATTCATGAAGATGATTTTTGTCATTAAGTTGTTCTATAAAGGTTTAATTACTTTTCATTTAATTTTTAATTAACTAAAACCATCATTATTTCCTGTCTCTGTGTTAACTGGGGACCAGGTATATGTTCTTTCCCTATATTAAATTATACCAATAGCAAGGAAAAATACCTTGGCTGTTGCACCAAGAAGTACCAATTCCTCAAAGGTAAAACTATGAACCAATTAATAAGCTTTTTTATGAAGACTAACATCTAAACTATTTCTAGCCCTTGCTTCACTGTGCCTACCAATTAATTGAAAGCTATTATGTTTTAAACTTTGCCCATTCCCGGTCAATTTCCCAAATTGCAAGACCTGCCTTAAAATCATCTATCCCAGGCCCCCAAACCCTATAAATATGTTTTCCTAATTTCCTCACTTTGAGATGCTGCTAACTTTCTGTCAAGATATTCTAATTGCAGTATATCTAGTAAACTTAGACTTGCTTGATCAACAGGTATTTCTGGTGGTCTTTTGGGAGTTGATCCTTGACAAAATGCTCAACCAAAGCCTTCTGACATGGTATTAGTCACTGAATAAATGTCTCTTTTGTGCTTGGCATATGCTAGGGATGCTAGTGGGATTTGAGGAACTTGATCATAAATATGAGCTCTCAGTCTAGTATGAGCTGCATCTTAGAATCAATCATTTCCAGACATGGAGATCTTATTAATCAAGTATTATCCTGCCTTTTTTTTTTTCTTGTGCTGGACCTGACTCTGACTTACAGGTGTAATTTAAAACTTGAAAATAATTGATATCAGAGGAAGTTTGGGAGATGGGCTCGGCTTAAAGTTTATTAATTTATATTCAAATCCATTTGCTTCTCTCCAAATCAGAACATGATGATACTAATTCAGAAGAGTAGGGATTATATTTTAGACATTTTAATAGTCATGGAGATATTTTTTGCTGATTCATCCAGTTCAGTCTGATATACAATGCTGAGATGGTTGGCTAAATTTCAGAATTAGCCTAAGGCTGTAGAATAGAACATACTCCATTGGTCAATAACATAATTTAATCTCATTACTATTAAGTTTCAACCAACTGGTCAAATCTTCCTAGATTAAGTTCACATTTCTGGCCTGTCTGAGCCCATGAATTTTCACTGTACTTCCAGAAATAGTTTGTAAAACAGAGCTAAGATGATTGACATGATAAAAAACAAAAACAAAACAACAAAACCACTCCTCTCCCCTACACCAATGCTAATTTGCCCAATGCTAAAATGGAAACCAGATCTCAGTTTTGGGTTTAAAATTATTCCTGTGGCTCATTCTAACAAGAATAAGTACAGTAAATAGGTCCTTGAAAAGTACAGCCAAGTGTTGCTCCTATTGCTGTGATAGTGTTCTAAAGAAATTAATTCTTGTTTTAAAGCATTGAAGGCCCAGGGCGCCTGGGTGGCTCAGTCAGTTAAACGTCTGCCTTGGGCTCAGGTCATGATCCCAGGGTTCTGGGCCCCCGCATTGGTCTCCCTGCTCAGGGGGGAGCCTGCTTCTCCCTCTCCCTCTGCCGCTCCCCCTGCTTGTGCTCTCTTTCTCTCTCTGTCAAATAAGTAAATAAAATCTTAAAAAAAAAAAAGCACTGAAGGCCCTTGAGACACAACAGTTTTTATCCCTCTCCTTGCCAAAAATAGTATCTGGCTAGGACTGTGTGATAATTGTTGGGGTAGGAAGGGAGGTTACTTAAATAAATTTTGAAAACTTTCATGTCATTCTCTGAAGACTTTATATAAATCTACTGTAGGAGTTAAATGTTTCATTAAATTGTAACTTGAGGTGTCTTACATCTTGTTAACTATATTCATATTCATTACAGAAATTTTTGTTGTTGAACCCCAAGATACTTTATTCCATTACCTTTTAATTACACTACTGGGTGTCTGGGTGGCTCACTTGGTCAAGCATCCAACTCTTGATTTCAGCTCAGGTCATGATCTCGGGGTCATGAGATGGAGCCATACGTCGGGCTCCACTCTCAACACAAAGTCTGCTTGAGATTCTTTCCCCCTCTGCTTTTTACCCTGCTCTCACTCTCTCTGTATCTCTCTCTTAATAAATAAATAAATAAATAAATAAATAAATAAATAAATAAATAAATAAAGTCTAAAAAAATTACAATATTTATGTCCATTATTTCAGTTTTTCTTTCCAATGCAGTAGTGCCACCCTATAAAAGGTCAATTTTGGATGTCCTGCCATTACTGCATATCCCATAAGCAGGCACACATTTGGTATAAATAAAGATATTTCATATGCTCTCATATAAAATGTAAAATGCAAATATTTGAATGCTTTTGGGCTCCAGGATGGTATTTTCAACCAAAAAATTACAATTATTGAAAGAAAGAGTGAACTAGAAGAAGAAATTATCCTCAAATATATTTTCCTTGCAGGTCTTTATCAGGTAGTTGTTACCAGCCCTAATCTGCTCCTGGAATCTAGGAAACAAAAGGAGCTGGCAGAGAAAAACAGAATCTGTCTGTCAAGCTTAAATGATGTTGATGTGAGTTAAATACATCAAAAAATGTTGAATCTGATCAATAAACCTTCTGAACTAGATTAGCTCAAAAACAGACACAGAAGACATCAGTGGGAGCTAAGGAGTAAAATGTTTCTCTGCACTAAATTTGGTCTTCACTATATCTGTCCTTATGCTTACCAGCCTTTAATAGAGAACATGTTCCCCTCCCCCAGAAGGAAAATAGGTCTCATGCATGGATTAAGCAATGAGATTCTATGGTAATAATACTGCTAAAAAAATGCACTGCATTTATAAAGAAAGAAATTTGGAGTTCTCAAACACAAATTCTGTGTGTGGGCATATGAATGAAGGTGGCTGCCGAGGAGTCTGGGAGGCAGGAAAGGAGGAAAAGAGAAAGAAAAAATGAAGAAAGAGAAATAACAGACAATCCCCAACTTAAAATGGTTCAATTTCAGATTTTTCAACCAATGGTATGAAAATGATATGCATTCAGTAGAAACCTTACTTCAGATTTTCAATTTTAATCCTTTCCTAGGGCTAGAGTATTGTACAATATTCTCCCATTATGCTGGGCAGTGGTAGTGAGCCCCAGCTTTCAGTCAGCCACGTGATCACAAGGGTAAACAACTGATAGACTTAAACCATTCTGTTTTTCACTTTCAGTACAGTGATCAATCAATTACATGAGTTATTCAACACTTTATTATAAATTAGACTTCCTGTTAGATGATTTTGCTCAATTGTAGGCTAATGCAAGTGTTCTGAGCAGGTTTAAGGTAGGCTAAGCTAAGCTATTAGTGGGTTCATGTATTAGACGCATTTTCAACTTATGTTATTTTCAATTTAGAATGGGTTTATCAGGATGTAACCCCATCATAAGTCAAGGAAGATATGTATTGAAAAGGGTGGACAGGCTTAGAAAGTTTTTATAATTTGCCTAAGTCTTTCAGTTTGTCAGTGGTAGAGTCAAATATGAATTCAAGTCTGATGCCAAATCACTAACCCATACTGCCTCTAGAATTTCTATCACTGGTATCATTTCCACAGCAAATTATTCCTTCTATTGCTCTCTCTCCATGAAGTTATACTTTTCCTTAGGTTTCTGCATTTCTAGGCATTCTGA